ATTTGAAGGTCCTGGAGTGGCCTAGCCAGTCTCCAGATCTCAACCCCATAGAAAATCTTTGGAGGGAGTTGAAAATCCGTGTTGCCCAGCGACATCCCCAAAACATTACTGCTCTAGAGGAGATCTGCATGGAGGAATGGGCCAAAATACCAGCAACAGTGTGTGAAAACCTTGTGAAGACTTACAGAAAACGTTTGACCTCTGTCATTGCCAACAAAGGGTATATAACAAAGTATTGAGATTAAATTTTGTTATTGACCAAATACTTATTTTCCACCATAATTTGCAAATAAATTCTTTAAAAATCCTACAATGTGATTTTCTGGATTTTTTTTTTCTCATTTTGTCTCTCATAGTTGAGGTATACCTATGATGAAAATTACAGGCCTCTCTCATCTTTTTAAGTGGGAGAACTTGCACAATTGGTGGCTGACTAAATACTTTTTTCCCCCACTGTATATCAGAAAGACATGCCTGTACTGATCAAAAGCTTATAACAGAAGCCCCTTTTTATAATGCTCTTAATTATGAGATGCATCTCTGGATCTGTGTATGTAAACATTTCAAGACATTATATGTGACCCCGGGTCAGTCAAACACTGATTAAAAAGTTTTCGGGTAAAGGTGAGAGTGTAAACGCTCTGATTGTGTAACTCAGGCCTGCTATTATCTTGATTACTGTCATTATCACACAGGTGGTTAATGACACATTTCGGTCGTTTGTTAGGTCAGTGACACACTGTACACATACACTGTATTACACATGATCACAATATAATGAGCCAATATAATCATTTAGCTGAGGAGCATAAACACTACAATATTTTCTGCAGGAGAATCTGACGAGATGGCGGAGGGGGAAAAAATGTGAGGAGAGACAAATATGGAGGAGACACAGATAAGAAACACAAAATGAGAGAGGGGATGAGACCAAAGACGAAAGACTAGACAAGACAGAACAATAAAACGAGGAAAGGACACAAGAAGAGACGAGAGGACATGAGATGATATGAGACAAGATAAGAAAGAAGAGACAAGTGAGAGACGAGAACGAGAAGAGACAAGAACAAGAAGAGATGAGAGATAGACATGATGACACAGAGAGGAAATGAGACAAGATGAGACGAGAGGACATGAGATGATACGAGACAAGACAAGAAAGAAGAGACAAGTGAGAGACGAGAACGAGAAGAGACGAGAGAGAGACATGATGATAGAGAGAGGAAATAAGACAAGATGAGACGAAAGGACATGAGATGATACGAGACAAGACAAGAAAGAAGAGACAAGTGAGAGACGAGAACGAGAAGAGACGAGAGAGAGACATGATGATAGAGAGAGGAAATAAGACAAGATGAGACGAAAGGACATGAGATGATACGAGACAAGACAAGAAAGAAGAGACAAGTGAGAGACGAGAACGAGAAGAGACGAGAGAGAGACATGATGATAGAGAGAGGAAATAAGACAAGATGAGACGAAAGGACATGAGATGATACGAGACAAGACAAGAAAGAAGAGACAAGTGAGAGACGAGAACGAGAAGAGATGAGAGAGAGACATGATGATACAGTGAGGAAATGAGACAAGATTAGACGAGAGGACATGAGATGATATGAGACAAGACAAGAAAGAAGAGAAGTGAGAGACGAGAACGAGAAGAGACGAGAGAGAGACATGATGACACAGAGAGGAAATGAGACAAGATGAGACGAGAGGACATGAGATGATATGAGACAAGATAAGAAAGAAGAGACAAGTGAGAGACGAGAACGAGAAGAGACGAGAGAGAGATGATGATACAGAGAGGAAATGAGACAAGATGAGACGAGAGGACATGAGATGATATGAGACAAGACAAGAAAGAAGAGACAAGTGAGGGACGAGAATGAGAAGAGACAAGAGAGAGACATGATGATACAGAGAGGAAATGAGACAAGATGAGACGAGAGGACATGAGATGACATGAGACAAGAAAGAAGAGACAAGTGAGAGACGAGAACGAGAAGAGACGAGAGAGAGACACATGATGATAGAGAGAGGAAATGAGACAAGATGAGACGAGAGGACATGAGATGATATGAGACAAGACAAGAAAGAAGAGACAAGTGAGGGATGAGAACGAGAAGAGACGAGAGAGAGACATGATGATACAGAGAGGAAATGAGACCAGATGTGACGAGAGGACATGAGATGATATGATACAAGACAAGAAAGAATAGAAGTGAGAGACGAGAACGAGAAGAGACGAGAGATAGACATGATGACACAGAGAGGAAATGAGACAAGATGAGACAAGACAAGAAAGAAGAGACAAGTGAGGGACGAGAATGAGAAGAGACAAGAGAGAGACATGATGATACAGAGAGGAAATGAGACAAGATGAGACGAGAGGACATGAGATGATATGAGACAAGACAAGAAAGAAGAGACAAGTGAGGGATGAGAACGAGAAGAGACGAGAGAGAGACATGATGATACAGAGAGGAAATGAGACAAGATGAGACGAGAGGACATGAGATGATATGAGACAAGACAAGAAAGAATAGAAGTGAGAGACGAGAACGAGAAGAGACGAGAGAGAGATGATGATACAGAGAGGAAATGAGACAAGATGAGACGAGAGGACATGAGATGATATGAGACAAGACAAGAAATAAGAGACAAGTGAGAGACGAGAACGAGAAGAGACGAGAGAGAGACACATGATGATAGAGAGAGGAAATGAGACAAGACGAGACGAAAAACAAACGAGAGACAGTAGATAAAAGTAATAAGAAAAAAAGACTACTGTGTAGAGCATTCAAAATAAGATGATTAAGAGAAAAAAGAAGACTGTACAATATAAGAGATAGGAACGAGACCAGTCAAACAGAGAAAAGAAGAGAAGACAAGATGGGAAAACAGAGACACAAAGTGGGACAAAAATGAGACAGGATGGGATGAAAGATGTGAAAGGAGACGAGAAGAGAAAGGCACAATATGAGATGAGAGAGAAGAAGAGACACTAAGAGGAATAAGTGAAACAAAATTAAGTGAGATGAGACAAGAAGGGCGAACAGACATGTTGAAAAAAAAAAGAAAAAAAAAGTAATGAGACCAGATTAAATGTAAGAGGAGGCAAGTTAAGAAGAGACCAAAGATGAGAAGGGAGAAGAAATATTGAGAAGACAAGATATAAGAAAAAGCTAAAACATGAGACGAGACGAGACGAGAAAGAAGACGAGTTCAGAAGAGACAGACGAGACAAGATGAGAAGAGAGGAGAAGAAATGATAAGAGGTGATGAGACAATGAGAAGAGAGCAATGAGACCAGATTAAAAGAGGAGACACGACAATGAGAAGAGCTAGATTTGAGAAAGACAGATTTAAAAAAAAAAAGTGAGATAGGAGACAACTTGAGAAAAGAGAGATGAGAAGATGAGAGAGGAGAGGAGACAATGGGAAAATAAAGATTTGAGAAAAAGGTACAGATGAGACGGGAGGAGATGAGAGAGAGAAGATGAGTTCTGATGAGGGAGACGAGACAAGGATGAGATGAGAGGAGAAGAGATTAAAAGAGAGAGGTGAGGAGCGATGAGACGGCTCTCACCGTGCAGTGGGTCTGCTGCTGCAGCACTGTGGGCACGTCTCCTCCGATATGATAAGAGGTGATGAGACAATGAGAAGAGAGCAATGAGACCAGATTAAAAGAAGACAATGAGAAGAGCTAGATTTGAGAAAGACAGATTTAAAAAAAAAAAGTGAGATAGGAGACAACTTGAGAAAAGAGAGATGAGAAGATGAGAGAGGAGAGGAGACAATGGGAAAATAAAGATTTGAGAAAAAGGTACAGATGAGACGGGAGGAGATGAGAGAGAGAAGATGAGTTCTGATGAGGGAGACGAGACAAGGATGAGATGAGAGGAGAAGAGATTAAAAGAGAGAGGTGAGAGGAGCGATGAGACGGCTCTCACCGTGCAGTGGGTCTGCTGCTGCAGCACTGTGGGCACGTCTCCTCCGATGGGCATCTGTTTGTTCAGCTCCTCATCCTTCACACTGATCCAGCGGCCCAGCTCCTCCAGGACTGACAGAAGCCGGTTCCAGCGCTCAGCACTGGCCTCCAGATGAGCCCTGCGCACACGTTCATACACATCTGAATACCAATGAAGATGCTGTCCCACAAACACAGGAAAACTTTCCAACGGTCTTTCTCTGAACAGAATGAGTGCAACAGGTGAAGCTTTTTTATGTGTGTGTGTATGTGTGTGTGTGTGTGTGTGTGTGCGCGCAGGGGTTGACAGTGCGAGGATTATACTCACATTTGCCATTAAAATAGATCTGGCAGAACTCTAAAATGTGTTTAGAAGCATGTGCACGAATAAAAAAAAAGGACCCCGTGGATCCTTAAAAATAAAAAACAGGATTTAAAATTTTTATTTAAGTCTAATATAAAAATAAAAATAAAGAAATATGATAAAGAAATACAGCACGTTTCAAAGTAAAAACACGGTGCTGTTGTGCATTCTCCAAGCTCGCTGTTTTAGAGCACTTTTCATTTAAGCCAATAAATCGATCATAATCTGTTGTTGATGAACTATAAATACTCACATTTGCCATTAAAATAGATCTGGCAGAACTCTAAAATGTGTTTAGAAGCATGTGCACGAATAAAAAAAAAGGACCCCGTGGATCCTTAAAAATAAAAACAGGATTTAAAATTTTTATTTAAGTCTAATATAAAAATAAAAATAAAGAAATATGATAAAGAAATACAGCACGTTTCAAAGTAAAAACACGGTGCTGTTGTGCATTCTCCAAGCTCGCTGTTTTAGAGCACTTTTCATTTAAGCCAATAAATCGATCATGATCTGTTGTTGATGAACTATAACAATGTTTACTTTGTGGCATTTATATTGCAATATGTTGTAGATGGCAGTAAGAGTGCATCTTTGATCTTCCTCGTGTTTAATAAGCAGTAAAGCATAGACATTTCAGAATAAGAGTCCCAGTGTATTTACAATTATACAGACATATGTATAACTGTAATAAACAGATTATGCCAATATAATTTATACAGTTTAAAGCAGGCCTATAACTAATTGCAGTACTATAAAATACAGCTTGAAGCAAAAATATTCTGTGTATTTTTGTATTTGAAAAACTAAATCACTTTGCTTGTAAATGTCACCTTGTATTTTATATTTTTTTGTATGTTATTTGATATATTTTATTATATTAGAAATATTATATATATATATATATATTAGTGTGCTTATTTTTTCAACTTAAAAACTCCTAGGGAAAAAAGAAGTGTCTGGTGTGTATATGTTAATGGATGCACCAGCAAGACTTGTAATTACACGTGTTCACTAATTAGTGCCTAATTAGATTAGAACACAATTACACTGTTTTCCTCTCTCACACACACAGACACAGTCTCCTGTTTGTCCATTTCGCCATTTGAAATGGTTCACACACACTTGCTAAAATTGACAACAGAAGTGAAACACAACTCCATCTGCCCTTACTAAGTGACTCATGTTTGATGGTTTTCAAGTGACCTCAACACTTGAACTTGGTGTGTGTGTGTGTGTGTGTGTGTGTTGGCATATATGGTTTATGAGGACACAAATGTGTATAATGACATGGGTACTACAATGTAAACATGGTTTATGAGGGCACTTCCTGTGATGAGGTGGAGATATTTTCTATCCATCTATCATACAAAACGGTGTTTTATTAAATTCAAAAATTGCCAGTAGTTTTCTGTAAGGGGTAGGTTTAGGTGTAGGGCGATATAAAATACAGTTTGTACAGTACACTATGGAGAGTCCCCGTAAACCACAAATGCAAGTATGTGTGTGTGTGTGTGAGACTGACCGTATATTGGCTGATTTGGTCTTCAGGTCGTTCCAGCGGTGGTTCATATCATCCAGTCTCTGTTGGAGGAAAACTGCTTCCTCTGAGCTCCCCAGAGCCTTCACCATCTTCATCTTATTCCCATCCACACTCCTGAAGACATCATTATGAGCCTCGATCTCCGCCTGGATGTCCTACACACACAGAGAGAGACAGAGACTGCTTTCATTGCACTGTTACCACCTTCATTATGTGGATTCGTTAAAGGAGAAGATAAATAAATCAACAAAGACAGACAGAGATGTTTCCACACCTCCGCTGAGAGGAGAAAACACAATTAAAGCTGTCAGTCTGATACTGAACCTCTCCACACACACACACACGCAGGCACACGCGCACACACACACGCGCACACGTCTGGGCAGCTATCCTTGTGGGGACTCTCCATAGGCGTAATGGTTTTTATACTGTACAGACCGTATATTCTATTGCCCTACACCAACCCTACCCCTAAACCTACCCCTCACAGGAAACTTTCTGCATTTTTAGATTTTCAATACACTTCATTCTGTATGATTTATAAGCTTTTGTACCCGTGGGGACCACAATTTAGGTCCCCACCGTGACACGAGTCCCCATGAGTCTGTGTGCAGTCAGGTTTAAGTCCCCACCAGGATATATAAACCAGTACACACGCACGCACGCACGCACGCACGCACGCACACACAGCGTACTGAACTGAAGATTAATCACACTACACGTGAAAGCACCCATAAAGACATTGAGCACATAATCTACTCATTCACACCATCCAATAGAATTATTAGTTATGAACTAATACTGAACTTTTTTATGATATTTTTTTTGTTTAATTTTGTTTACTTTAGTTTATTTTTATGTCTAATTTTGGTTGATTTAGTTTGAGTAGATTATCGAGCTCGGTTTTCATTCCTTATATAACACAGCACCACAATTTATATGACGAAAACACAATTTATCAGCACTTACATCATGTTTAAAAGTAAAACTGTAATATCAAACTGCCTTCAAAGTTTACTAGTGAAATGCACAACACTACAGCGCACTGCAGGATTTTCTGTCTAATGCTACTCTGGATATTTATCATACATCAACATCGACTGGATCAGCAGTTGCTGTGCTGTTTGATTCTTTTTTTTTGCAATTTTTTGTCTTAATCGTGCTAATAAAGCTTGCTTGAATTTGAATGACATATTGAGACATGTAGAGGCCGGTAGAAGGAGGTTTGGGTCTTTTCCAGTTCATTTGCAAAGTGCACTCTGCTACTTGACAAACTCTCTCTCTCGCTCTCTCTCTCTCTCCGTCACTCTTTTAAATAATATACACCAGAATACCAATAAACACACACAACAGTGCTAACTGTATGCTGCTGAAACACACATCAGAACGCACAGAGATGAAATAAAGTAGTGTTATGTTGAAGGTCCTGATATAATTTAATGAAAAAGACACAAGAACAGACTACTTACACTGTAAGACACTGTCTGACTGACATAAATGGACTAACAGATCTTTTGGATATCTGTATATCTGTATTAATAGATACAGAATGGTCTCAAACAACAAAACTGTCAGTGAACAAAGAAAAGAAAAGAAAAAAACCACAATGTCTGAAACAACAAAACTGTCAATGAAAAAATCGAAACAAAACCGATTGTCTGAAACAAAGCTACCATCGGAGGGAAAAAAAACTCAAAACACAAAATGTTTCGAAAAAAAAAAAAAAAGACACTCGAACCAAAAAAAAATGTATGGACCTCACAAACTTTGGAAAATGCAGTGAACACATCTTCCTCAAAAGAGGCTGTCTGGTTTGAGGTAAACAGGACTATTTTTCCCAGGTGAACAGCGACAACCGATGCCCAGAATAAACACAGTCAGCCAATCAGATCGGAGCTTGCCATTCTGGATGCTTATTGTCATTTATGACTGCAATTCGCATCAAGCGAGCAACTGCCTAATTCTCATGACACATGAATACACAGAAGCAGCAGACTGAAGCTTCAGCGCTCTAGAAATCTCATTTCTGCTGTTCATCTGTTATAGTTCTTAATGAAATATTTAACTGTGATCAATTCAAGCACGTGCCCCACACACACACACACACACTAAAACTCCCTCATCTGGCAGTCTGACCTATTAAACGAAGCAATAAAAAAAGCTTTTCTCGTTAATAAAGTTAAATAATTGCTTCTCGATCATAAAGACTCCCCAGAGCTGTCCCCAGACTTACCCACAGATCCAAGAGAGAGACAGAGAGACACAGGTTAAAAGAAAAAAAAAAAACTGACATTTTCATGTTTGACCTTTCCTTGTTTGTTGGTGAAAGCATCCTCATGGACTAACACACACACACACACACACACACGCACAGGCACACACACGCACAGGCACACACACGCACACACACACAGGTGGGAGATGCTCTTCACACTGAGTGCGCTCTGAAACCTCTCTTTCCTGGAAGTATTAAAAAAGTTGTGACTAACAGTACACTTGCTGCTGTACCGTCCCCTCCAGCGACCTGAGCTTGAGTGTCTTGATCGAGGACAAAATTGGGATAATTCACAGATCAGCCTTTATGGGACTTTCTTTACAGGTCAGGAAATAATTGTTTTATTAAAAAAATGATTTTGTGATAAACAGACCATTGTGTCACTCACAGCAATATATATACCAGATGGAACCGTCCACCGCGTTTAGTGAACTGTCCCAATCACAAAAATTTATTTTGTTTCTCATGCTTTAGTTTTGGTAGTTTAAGGAGAAGGTAGAAGATTCCATGGTGTTCTGGAGTGAAAAAAAACACTTACCGCATCCTAGATAAACCTCCGATGTGGAAATTCCCAAGCAAATGTAAACGTTTCTTTAGAGTAGATGTTCGATTTGAAGCTTGTATATATATTAAATCATAAGTATAAGTCAATACTGGAGATCTTTACATTTTATATCAGATTTAAAATCCATCATTTTTTTCTTATTGTTCTTAATTTTGGTAACGCTTCATTTTACAGTGTCCTTGTTACACGTTACATGCACTTACTATATTAATAACAGTAAATTACACATAATTATAAGCAACTAACCCTAAACCTAAAGTAAGTACTGGTGTCATTTAAGTATCAATTTAAGTATTTTCTGTTTTGTTTACATTTTAGAGTTGCTTAAAATTTGTGTAATTTTGTTGTTTCTTATTTTTATTTTATTTTTCCTATGTCTAGATAGTTTTTTTTATTAAGTTTTAGTTTTAGTAATTTTAGGCCCGGTTTCACAGACAGGGCTTAGACTAAGCCAGGATTAGGCCATAGTTCAATTAGGACATTTAAGTAATTTTTATTAACATGCCTTAGAAAAACATTACTGGTGTGCATCTTGAGACAAAACAAAGGCACTGATATATATTTAAGATCAGTCAGTGCAAGTTTCTTCCAGTTAAAACGGTTTAGATTTACACTTTAGTCTGGGACCTGGTTTAAGCTGTGTCTATGAAACCGGCCAGTTTTTCAACTCTGATTGAAAATGAAAATTCAGCAACAAGCTGAAAAAAATAATGTTTTGACATTTTATATCAGTTAATGTTTGTTTTATGGTTCTTGTTAATGATAACTATCCTGGTAATTGCATGCTATTAATTAATATCACACTTTACACCGTAAAAAGGACACCTTTAAACAAGACATTTTAATAGTTCATCCCTAATGATCTTTAATGGCGTTACAGATGTAGTCTCCAACAATCTGGGGAACAACAGTTCTGACTCGCTTTTGGCACTTGTGTAACTTTCAGACCCAGTCGCTAAAGCACCCTGATCCATTCCTCCACAATCAAATCTGAAAATACCTCCTCAAACTTCTGCAGCAACTCCTGCAAGCTGAAGTTCAGACCAATCATCATGATCTCCGTCTACCTCAACCGCGCTACATTCCAGAACGCCAACGACGGAGAGAAATCTGGCAACGGATCAGTCTCCTCTGGGGGTCCACACACGCATAACGCAGCTTATCATATGCAGGAACATCTGTGGAGAGCACACACACGTCTGGCGGCGTGGAGCGGAGCCTGAGCGCCTGTGCCGAAGCTCTGCCGCTTTGTGCTGAGAGACGCATGCTCCAGTGTTGGATGGGTCTTGCCCAGTGTTTAGGATCTTCTGCAGGCCTGGATGTTGGAGGCAGATTGAAGATAGAGTTAGGGATTCAACCAAATATCCTAATGTTGGTTGGATCGCTTTACTTGTTAACACACACGGCTCTTTCTCTCTAGTCCAGACACACACAGAAAGCGTCTTGTTCCTCCAGGTTCCTGTGACCCTCGGGCAAGCGTTCGTACTCAATTACCCGTGTCAAAGAGCCTCTGTGTGGATCGCTCTGATGGGCAGGGCAGGAGAGCAGCACGGCTGTCCGATTCGCTTTCTCTCGTGGAAAACACGCACTCAGAGTCAGCAAGCCAAGAACAACACCGGAGGTCTAATCGTGAGGAGAACATCTCCAAATCTAGACATGAGGAAAGGCCAGAAGCAAGTGAGATGTGAAGGTCTTCATCTTTGCTCGAACCCAAAGTTTCACAAGTCCACTTTGATCTTCACATCAGCACTTGAAGAAAACGTCTGAGATGAGGTTTCTTTCTAGGTGTAAAGATCTCCACAGGCAGCTTGGAGTTTTCCAGAACTTCCAAAAGTTTTCTTAAAACTCTCTGGCTGGCCAGCTTTCCTCTTCTGTGGTCTACTCTGACTGCTGGCTCCCTGAGCTGACTTTTCCTGCTCTCTCTCTCTTCTGTCTTTCCCTCCAGTGGCAGCTGTTTATTATTTTATTCAGCATCCTCTGTTTCCCCTCCACTCCTCCATCCCACTCCAAACTAACACACACACACACACACTTCCTGTAGGGCCCCACCATGAAAGAGAGCGAGCTCAGTGCCGAAAACGAAAAAGAAGAACGTTCGACAAGAATATAAAGGCGGGGAAGACAACGTTTTATGAAGTACTGCAACAACTTTAGCATCTGTGAATATGTGAAGCTCTCACATGAGCGAGAGAGAGACTCAGCAACACGACATGTGATCTACGCTCTCTCTTCCACTTTCTCTCTCTCTCTTCTGTCTTTCCCTCCAGTGGCAGCTGTTTATTATTTTATTCAGCATCCTCTGTTTCCCCTCCACT